GAGTGCAGTGGCCGCTCCCGGCCACCGCAGCCTCGATCTGCTGGGCTCCAGCAATCCTTCGCCTCAGCCTTCCAGGTAGCTGGAACGACAGGCGCGCACTACCATACCCGGCTAGTTTTTGATTTATTGTAGAGATGAGATCTTGCCAAGTTGCCCAGGCGGGTCTCGAACCCGCAGTTTCAGGCAATCCACTCACCTCGGCCTCCCAAAGCGTGGGATTATAGACTGAGCCACCGACCCCGGCTAGAGAACCTGCATCTCTAACAAGCTCCCAGGGGCCCTGTGTCAGCAGGGAACACACTTTGAGAAGCAGTGCCCTAGGCGATCATTCCAAAACAACTCTCTGTTGGCTGATTCGCTATTGCAAGAAGAGGAAAGCCTCACCCGGAACGTGGGCCAAACCCTTTAACTTAATCTGCGATGACGACGATAGGCCAGAGCCACACATGCGCACATGCTCTCAACGTACCTGCTTCTGTCCTCGCAGTACCTGAACACAGCCTCCTTGGTGATCAGCCTGTTGGTTCTTCGCATCTGGTTCAAGACTGCCGTCATCCAGTCCTCCACCCGCCCCTCGGCCCGGATGATCCTCCGAAACTCCATGACCTCCCCCTCGGCTGAAATCATTGCGGACACCAGCTTTTCCCCACTGTCCCCGTCACTGAACCGCAGCAATGCTATGTTGTCATACATCTGCAAAACAGCAGGAGAGGCAACCCTGCGATACCTCCCCTGAGCTCTGGAATAAAAAGGCAGTCCGCTAGATTTTTTTTTTTTTATGTTGGAGTCTTACTCTGCCCCCCAGGCTGGAGTGCAGGGGCACGCTCACAGCCACCACAGCCTCGACCTGCTGGGCTCAGGCGATCCTTCTGCCTCAGCCTTCCAAGTAGCTGGAATGACAGGTATGCCCCCACCACACCTGGCTAATTTTAAAATTTTCTGTAGAGACGAGATCTCGCTAAGTTGCCCAGGCTGGTCTTGAACTCCTGGGCTCAAGTGATTCTCACGCCTTGGCCTCCCAAAGGGCTGGGATTATAGGCGCAAATCACCACGCCTGACCCACAGGCTGCTTTTTCCCCCCCAGATTGGTAGCCTTTTTATTTAAGAAAGTGATATTAAAATGTGTCACTTGCTATTACAACACATAATCCCACATCTTTATCCTTGAGTTCCTTCAACTTGATCTGCCTTCATTATTATTAATTTTTTTTTTCCTGAGTTGGAGTCTCATTCCACCACCCAGCCTGGAGTGCAGCGGCAAGCTCACAGTTACTGCACCCTCGACCTGCTGGGCTCTGGCGATCCTTCCGCCTCAGCCTTCCAAGTAGCTGAAACTACAGGCACGTGCCACCATGCCCGGCTAATTTTTTGATTTATTGTAGAGATGATGTCTCACCAAGTTGCCCAGGCAGTTCTCGAACCTATGGGCTCAAGCAATCCTCTCACCTCAGTTTCCCAAAGTGCTGGGATTACAGGATTGAGCCACCACGCCCGACCCATTAATTCTTTACCAGATGTAGAACACAGGGTGCATTAACCACTGTTATATTCGTCTGTGAAAGGCGAAAAGATTTTCAAATATTTTGCCACTAAGACTTAAAACTCTTAGTCATCTCTGATTCTATCAATTACACTACCAACAAGAAGTGCCCATTAATTCTCTAGCAGCCTTCCTTAAAAAAAAAAAAAAACAAACAATAGCCTTCCTACTTAGAAGGCTGAGGCGAAAGGATCACCTGAGCCCAGCAGGTCAAGGCTGCGGTGAGCTGTGATGGTGCCACTGCACTCCAGCCTGGGTGACAGAGAGACACCCTGGCTACAAAAAAAAAAAAGGAGAGTCTGGCGTAATCACAGATGAAGTGAACATCATCAGGTTCCTGCTTGAGGCAGAATTCCAGCAGCGAGTCACCACCTTTCCCCCATGAACCGCCCCCTCACCCACCGGGAGACCCCAGGGAGAAGTGCAGAGCCCAGCTGACCTTGATCACGTGCTCCTGCACGCACAGCGGGTCGCTGTTGCCCAGGATGCTGAGCAGCTCGTCGTCGGAGATGAAGAAGAACCGTGGGAAGGCGTTCCTCTTGGAGTCCAGGTAGTCGTTCAGGCTCTTCTGGCACTTCTCCAGGCCCTCGCTGATGTTCTGCAGGTCGCCCAGGCGGTTGGGGACTTCGCAGCACCGCTTGATCACCGGGTCCTTCAAGGTCTCGCCCATGATCTGGACAAGGGCAGAGGGCGCTGTCACAAGTGGGACACGGAGGCGAGTTCTCCTTCCCGGGAAGGGCGCTGGGCAGGCCCGGCCCAACGGGGGAAGAAGCCGACAAGCTGCCTGGGGCCATGGCCTCCGGGGGGACCCCTGGGGCAAAAGCTATCCGTGTTTGGGGTTTTCTTTTTGTTTTTTTGAGTTGGAGTCTCACTCTGTCGCTCAGACTGGAGGGCAGGGGCACGCTCACAGCCACCGCAGCCTCCACCTGCTAGAACCCATGATACTACTAAGCCATTCTGAACGCCTTTGAAGATATTTTTTTAAAGCGATGGGGCGCCTTCCCGTGTGAGGACTAAACTCTGACCTTTTTTTTTTTCTCTCTTTCTTGCCAAATTCCTAACTAAGGGGTCTGGGGAGTCAAGCCCCACAAAGTCTTACCAGATGGGTTTTTGTTAACCCTGCATAATGTGGTTTACTTTCCAATTGATTCTGGTATAACCAATAAAAAAGAAAATCACAACTGTTTTATGACCCTGCAAAAATGTCTCCAGGGGAAATTGGCATCTGTATGGAATCCCCTTCCTGGGGATTCCAAAACACCTTTTAATTGATTTTTTTTTTTTTTTTGCCTGAGTCAAAGTCTCACTCTGACACCCAGGCTGGAATACAGTGGCCTGCTCATGGCCACCACAGCCTCCACCCGCTGGGCTCAGGCAATCCTTCTGCCTCTGCCTCCCAAGTAGCTGGGACTACAAGCATGTGCCACCACGCCCAGTTAACTTTTTGATTTATTGTAGAGATGAGGTCTCACCACATTGCCCAGGGTGGACTTGAACTCCTGGCCTCTGGCAATCCTCTTGCCTCAGCCTCTGAAAGTGCTGTGATTACAGGTGTGAGCCATCACACACAGCCAAAAGCTATCCAATTTTAAACAAGCACACCCTTAGCACGTTTGAATATACTACATATAACAGATTTCTGATTCCCCCACCCTCCATCTTCCCATAAGAAGGCCAGCACAAGAAAGGGATTTTTCTCTTTTCTTCACTGATGGGTCCTACCCTCCTACAACAGTGCTTGTACACAGTAGGCACTCAATCAACGTTTGCTGAATGAAGGAAATCAAGCAAGTCTGCTGTGAGCAATTTTTATGCACACTTTCCACTACAGCACTCTTGATCATGGCCGTAAAAAAGAAAGAAATAAGGCTGGGTGTGGTGCCTCATGCCTGTAATCCCAGCCCTTTGACTTGAGCCCAGGAGTTCCAGACCAACTTGGGCAACAAAACGAGACCTCGTCCCTACAAAAAAAAAAAAAATTATCTGGATGCGGTGGTGCCTGCCTGCTGCTGTCTCAGCTACGAAATAGGTCAAAACTGTTCAACGAAAAGAGTCAGTTAATTAGAATGATCCTGTTTTGTAGACTGTCTATCTCAATGAATATGTTTATACAGTAATAAACATTCTGGAAAGATATATGTTCAACTGTTAAAATGGTTATCCTGGGTGAGGGAATTGTAGGGTTTTTTCTTTTCTTTCTTTTTCTTGGCTTTTTCTGCAATTTCTAAAAACTTCTATAATGAATCAATCTTCGTTATGCAATTTTGTTAAGGTTTTTTTAAGAAGTGCTTATGCAGTTGTTTCAAGGAGATCAAAACATGAATTGGCCACCTGGAATTGACTAATAAAACAACAAAGTTATGCCGGGCTCGGTGGCTCAGCCTGTAATCCCGCACCTTTGGGAGGCTGAGGTGAGTGGATTGCCTGAGCCCGCAGGTTCGAGACCCGCCTGGCCAGCGAGACCTCATCTCTACAATAAATCAAAAAATCAGCCGGGCGTGGTAGCGCACGCCTGTAATTCCAGCTACTCGGAAGGCTGAGGCGGAAGGATCGCCGGAGCCCAGCAGGTCGAGGCTGCGGTGGTCGGGAGCGGCCACTGCACTCCAGTCTGGGCGACAGAGTGAGACTCCAACTCAAAAAAAAAAAAAGCTAAGTAATAAAATATCCAGGCTCTGAGGGAAGGTGGTCTGGGTTAAAATCCCAGTCGTTATAACAATTACCAGCAGCAGTCATGACTGGTACAATACTTTCTGGAAGGGACTTAAAATGTGCGCGCCGGTCAGACACAGTGGTTCAGGCCTGCAATCCCAGCACTGTGAGAGGCTGAGGTGGGAGGATTGCTTGAACCACGAGTTTAAGACCAGCCTGGACAACATAGTGAGACCCTGTCTCCACAAAAAAATCAATCAATCAATCAAAAAATAAGCCAGGCACGGTGGCACACACCTGTAATCCCAACACTTTGGGAGGCTGAGGTGAGTGGATTGCCTGAGCCCGCAGGTTCGAGACCCGCCTGGCCAGCGAGACCTCATCTCTACAATAAATCAAAAAATCAGCCGGGCGTGGTAGCGCACGCCTGTAATTCCAGCTACTCGGAAGGCTGAGGCGGAAGGATCGCCGGAGCCCAGCAGGTCGAGGCTGCGGTGGTCGGGAGCGGCCACTGCACTCCAGTCTGGGCGACAGAGTGAGACTCCAACTCAAAAAAAAAAAAAGCTAAGTAATAAAATATCCAGGCTCTGAGGGAAGGTGGTCTGGGTTAAAATCCCAGTCGTTATAACAATTACCAGCAGCAGTCATGACTGGTACAATACTTTCTGGAAGGGACTTAAAATGTGCGCGCCGGTCAGACACAGTGGTTCAGGCCTGCAATCCCAGCACTGTGAGAGGCTGAGGTGGGAGGATTGCTTGAACCACGAGTTTAAGACCAGCCTGGACAACATAGTGAGACCCTGTCTCCACAAAAAAATCAATCAATCAATCAAAAAATAAGCCAGGCACGGTGGCACACACCTGTAATCCCAACACTTTGGGAGGCTGAGGTGAGTGGATTGCCTGAGCCCGCAGGTTCGAGACCCGCCTGGCCAGCGAGACCTCATCTCTACAATAAATCAAAAAATCAGCCGGGCGTGGTAGCGCACGCCTGTAATTCCAGCTACTCGGAAGGCTGAGGCGGAAGGATCGCCGGAGCCCAGCAGGTCGAGGCTGCGGTGGTCGGGAGCGGCCACTGCACTCCAGTCTGGGCGACAGAGTGAGACTCCAACTCAAAAAAAAAAAAAGCTAAGTAATAAAATATCCAGGCTCTGAGGGAAGGTGGTCTGGGTTAAAATCCCAGTCGTTATAACAATTACCAGCAGCAGTCATGACTGGTACAATACTTTCTGGAAGGGACTTAAAATGTGCGCGCCGGTCAGACACAGTGGTTCAGGCCTGCAATCCCAGCACTGTGAGAGGCTGAGGTGGGAGGATTGCTTGAACCACGAGTTTAAGACCAGCCTGGACAACATAGTGAGACCCTGTCTCCACAAAAAAATCAATCAATCAATCAAAAAATAAGCCAGGCACGGTGGCACACACCTGTAATCCCAACACTTTGGGAGGCTGAGGTGGGAGATTCACTTGAGCCCAGAAGTGAAGCTGAGGCTTCAGTGAGCTATGATCATGCCACTGGACTCCAGCCTGGATGTCAGAGTGAGACTCCAACTCACAAAATAAAAAAAAGCATGCACACCCTTTCATGAGCAAGTTGCTTTCTAACCATCTATCTTAAGATATTCATCCTAAATAAGGAAGGAGCATTAGGCACAAACCCACATATCATTTATGAAAGCAAAGAATTTCTGTTTAAGCAAAATGTCAAATTACTAGAGAATAATCGACTAAACTAATATCAACCCACTCACTGAAATATTGTATAAAACCATTAAAAAATTCTCAGAGGGTTACATAATATGAAATGTTTCTCATAATATTAAGATAAAAGTATAAGATATAAAATTATGCACGGTATGATTATAATTGTGTTTTTAAACCTATACACATGGAAGAATATAAGAGGAATATATTGACATATTAAATTGGTCCCATTCTGGTGGCAGAACCATGAGGGATACATTTTTCCACTTTCCTATAGTTTCAAAAGTTTTAAAACAAGTCAATAAGGTTTTTGTTAAAAAAAAAAAAAAAACATTAAAAATGTTTCCATGGCATAGGCCAGCAGCTAAAGGTCAAACAGAAATGTTTAGTAACTAGATTAAGGTCATAAATAAGGACAGAAAACATCCAGAAGCTTCTAGTCAAGACAATACTCCATGCAAACACAAAAGCAAAGGCATCTCAAGTCACTGTCCCTTCACAACTAACACTGAAGCCTTCACTTGCCCTTTTGAACACTCTATCGATGTTGTCAAATTTCTTCGCCTCATCTGGAAGTTGTGCTCTTATGTCTCCACCAATAAAAATGCTTTCCAGATACATCCATTTTCTCTGAACCAACATCCAAATCTGTAAATGTGCAGAAAGTTGACATCAGTGGGGGTTACTAGGTACCAAGGAGTGTACAGCAAAATCGCACCCTATTCAGGACAGATTCGAATCAACTCAGCAACTCAGATCCAAGGGCTTTCCAGGCAAGATGGAAAAATGAGCCTGGCCAACACCCCATCCATTCTAAATGCAAGAAAATGCTGAAGAAAGCATAACTAATTATTTTTAAATGCATGGTCACACTCAAAAGAAAACTCTCCATGCAACCCATGACAGGGAAGAAACTTCTAGTCATCAGCAAGAAGTGGAGTCCTGTCACCCACGACAACCAAGGACAGGCCATGCTGAAGCTATGCCAAAAAGCGAGCCAAGTACCATGTGCCTAGCAATTCCGCTCCCAGATGTCGACCCAAAGAATTGAAAACAGGAACTCAAACAAATGCCTGTACGTGAATGTTCATAGCTATTCACAATAGCTCATAGCTCAGAACGATTTACAAAAGCCAAAAGGTGGAAACAACCCAAATATCCATCAACCAATGGATAGATAAGCAGAATGTGGCCTCTCCGTCCCATCGAATATTATCTGTCCATAAAAAAGGAATAAAGTACTGAGGCTTGCAGTAATGTGGACGAATCTCAAAAACAGTACACTAAATGAAAAAAGCCAGGTACAAATGACCAAATATTGTGTGACTCCGTTTATATGAAATATCTAAAATAGAGAAATCCATAGAGACAGAAAACAGACTGGAGATTGCTAGGGGCTGAGGAGGGCTGAGTAGAAAATGGCTACATAATGGGGACTGGATTTTCTCCTGGTTTGATGAAAATGTTCTGGAACTAGAGGTGGTGGCTGCACAACATTGTGAATGTACTAAATATCACTGAATTGTGCACTTAAAAATGGCCGATTTTATGTTATAGGTATTTCACCTCAAAAAAACAAAATTTTAACTAACCAATTTAAAAAACCAGTGCTGTATCCTCCATAAAAGCTTCCACTAATATAAAGTCATGGACCAAACAAACAAAGGAAGCCCAGGCACGATGGGAGGCCTGGATCACGTGCCTAGCCAGTGGACCAGACCTGGCATCATCTCACCTGAAGCTCGGTGAGCTATGGCCAGGAACAAGGTGCTTGCCTGTGGTCTGAGAAGGAAAAACAGGCAGCTGCACAAAAACGGTGCAGTGAGCCTAAGTTGCTCACAGAGGTTTGAACTAGTATTGCCCAAAAGGAAGAAAGCCCCAAATCACCTAATATGAGACTTTGGTGCTTCCCAATGTGACAAGTCCAGGTTAGAGAGACTGCAGAAGCAGATAACAAAGTGAAGTCAGCACAAGAAAAAAAATCATATGTGAGATGAGCTAAAAAAAAAAAAAAAATCAAAATCAGAGGAAAACCCACTACTGTGTGAGACAGTCTGCAGACACAAAAAAGGAAGAAAATTATTGTCTGAGAAAATAAAAAGTGTAGAGAAATCTGAAAAGAACTTGTTGCATCCTTGCAACAAGAACCGGAAAGTGTTAGAGGAGAACAGGAGGCTGGGTGCAGTGGCTCACACCTATAATCCCAGCACCTTAGGAGGCAAAGGTGCAAGGATTGCTTGAGCCTAAGAGTTTGAGACCAATCTGGGCAACATAGTGAGGCCTCAATTCTATCCAAAAAAAAATTAATTAGCTGAGCATGGTGGCGTACACCTGCAGTTTCAGTTACTCAGGAGGCTAAGGCAGAAGGATCACCTGAGTCTAGGAGGTCAAGGCTGCAGTGAGCTATGATCTTGCCACTGCACTCCAGTCTGGGTGACAGAGTAAGTCCCTACCTCAAAAAGGAAAGAAGGAAGAAGAGGAGGAGGAGGAGGTAGAGGAGGAAGAGAAGAAATATATAACAAAGAACCAATTAAGAATCATAGAAATTAAAAATTATTCATTGAGATAAAAACTCAGATCAACATCTCTAACCATGCACTCCTCCCCTCAAAATAAATCAAGACAAAAAATAAGTATGGAAGAGGCTCATTTGTTTCTAAGCACAAAATGTACTCAAAGAAAGGTTCTTTCCTGCTACGAATTGGCTCTAATCCATCTTTTATTTGTCTTTTCTCTCACCTCAATGACTTCCCCTATTAGAGAAAGCGTTTTTTCCCATTTGTGAACAGTTTGGAGAAAAGGTCCCACAAATCTGCTTCCCGAGATGCTTTGCAGGTTGAAAGTGTTGTCATCGAGTGACTGAATAATCTCGTCTACAGATCCCAAGATGTAGCCTCGCTCCTGAGTGCCTTTGTAATACTTGACCACAGTGAATTTCATATTTTCCCATGTGTCTAGGATTTCTTTCACAGCCTGGGCGGGAAGAGAAGAATGACTCAGGTACAAAAACTTAAAACACAGAACCCCAACCCAACAGCAACTCAGCCCAGAATCCTGGATCCATTTTCTGAAAAGTCAAGGTTCTGTCACAGCACTAATAGTCACTTACCAAGCATTCGCTATAGGTTGGGTAAACATGTTGCATCCATGATCTCACTGAGTCCTCAAAGCAACTATGTTCTGTCAGGGATTGTCACCACCCCCATTTTACAGAGATGGAAATTGGGGCTCAGAGGGGGAAGCTTAGCTACTGAGTGCCAGAACCAGGGTCTGCACCCCACAGTCTGTCCCAGGGTATGCGGAGTTATGGGATCCTGCCCCTTGGTTTACGCTACTGTTAGGAAAACCAGTTACAAAATGAATATGCCTATTATGAGTCTGTTCACAAAGAAAACTGAATTAATATGCATATATTCATAAGTATATGCAGATGTATATTCTGTGTATTATGTACATAATGTGTGTGCATTATGCGTATATGTGTGTATGTATGTTTTATGCTGTGTGTACGTATGCATATGTGTGTGCTGTGCAAATGTACAAACACCACCTTTGCTATAACAATGTTTCAGTCAATGACAAGCCTTATATACCACAGTGGTCCCATAAGATAATAATATCGTAATTTTACTGTATCTTTTCTATATTTATTTATTTATATTTGAGTCGGAGTCTCATTCTGTCACCCAGGTTGGAGTGCAGTGGCACCTTCACGGCCACTGCAGCCTTGATCTGCTGGGCTCAGGCAATCCTTCCGCCTGTCTTCTGAGTAGCTGGAACCACAGGTGCGTACCACCCCACACAGCTAATTTTTTTGATTTATTGTAGAGATGAGATCTCGCCAAGTTGCCCAGGCTGGTCTTAAATCCCTGGGCTCAGCCAATCCTCTTGCCTCTGCCTCCCAAAGTGCTGGGATGACAGGTATGAGCCACCATACCTGGCCCTTTTTCTACATTTAGGTACACAAACACTTTGTAACAACTACCCATGGCTTTCAGGACAGTCATGCACTGTACAGGTTTGTAGCTGAGGTGTGTGGTAGACTGCACTATCTGGGCTTGTGTAAATTCACTCTATGATGTTCACACATGTATGAAATGGCTTAACAACACCTTTCTCAGAACATGACTATATACATGTGTGTGCATATATGTGAATTTGTGTATGTGTATGTTGGTACGTACACATACATGGGTGTATATGCATATGCGTGTAGTATGTATACATGTGTGTGCTCGTGTGTGTGTATGCATGCATTTTTAGTAGAAAAAGAAATACACTAAAATGTTAATCATTGTCTTCAGGTGACAGGATTATGGCTGATTTGTTTATTTTTTCAATTTTCTACCATGAACATCCATTACTTCTATAAAAAATAAGTGGAAAGTGAAACTGTAATTAGGAACAATTAAAATTTTTAACTGAGGCAGAAATTCTGCAACAAATATGTCTTTATTACTCAAATACAACAGGTACTAGAGCACATACATTTTATTTTGAATTTTAAAAAGTATTCTCTTTCCTCTGGGCGAGTTCCTGGCTAAGTCTTACCTTTTCGATGGCAACCTCCTTGATAGCTGCTGTGACAATCTCATTGAGGACATCCGTGTGTTTGTGAAGCTCCATAGCAAACATGTTTTCCAAGGTGAACGTTTCAGTCATTTCAAAAAAGACAGAAGTTTTTTCCATCAGGTCTTTCCAATGCCTGTCAACATTAAAATCTTTAGGCTAACTGAATTTAGTGACGAATTTAATGAACCCCATTTGGACCACAGGATAAATCCCATTATGAAATCTTCTTCAGTAGACTTCTAAGATATGAAGACATCATTGGAATTATATCCCCAAAGTTTCCCATCAGTCACCAGAGTTAAAACCAGGAAGCAACCTCTGACAAGATTCTGTATACACTGGTCTTCATGGCCAGCCAAGAAAATACACAACTTTTAACTTATAGACACTGCTTCTGTCGTAGTCTCCGCCAGTGATCTCAGCCTCTGTTGAATCACTCAGCTTTTCTGAGAACCTGGTGTCAGTTACAAGTTCTTGTGTGTTCAAGAAACATTTATTGAGTGCTGACTCTGTGCCAGGCGGCGGGTTGAGTGGCAGGGATACAGGGTGACTAAGAGACAAGGCCATAGCCTCAGGAAAACTACCATCTACTTAGGAAGGCAGTAAATAAACAACAAATAAGTCTATACATTAAATAATGACATACGGTTTTGAGTACTATTTTTTAAAATCTGGGAGGCTAAGGCAGGGGAGGATTGCTTGAGCTCAGGAGTTTGAAATCAGCCTCAGCAACACATGGAGACCTTGTCTCTACAAAAAATAAAATAAAAAATTAGCTGGGCATGGTGGTGCACGTCTGTAGTCCCAGCTACCAGGGAGGCTGAGGTGGAGGATCACATGAGCCCAGGAAGTCGAGACTGTGGTGTGCTGTGATCTCACCACTGCACTCCACCCTGGGTGACAGAGTGAGATACCAACTCAGAAAAAAACAACAAAACAAAACAAAAAATCCTGCAGCATAACAGAGAAAGAAAGGAGGCCCACTTCAGACAGGATGGTCAAGGCAGGCTTCTGCACACACAGTCCTGCTCTCCAGCCAATTTGGCCTTTTTTTTTTGAGTCAGAGTCTCACTCTGTTGCCCAGGCTGGCATGCAGCGGCATGCTCACGGCCACTGCAGCCTCAACCTGCTGGGCTCAGGCGATTCTTCCACCTCGGCCATCCAAGTAGCTGGAACTACAGGTGCACACCATCATATCCCACTCATTTTTTTTTTTTTTAGTTGGAGTCTTACTCTGTCACCCAGGGTGGAATGCAGTGGCATGCTCACAATCACCCCAGCATTGATCTGCTGGACTCCAGCAATCCTTCCACCTCAGCCTTCCAAGTAGCCAGAACTACAGGTGTGTGCTACCACACCCAGCCTAATTTTTTAAAAATTTATTGTAGAGATGAGGTCTTACCATGTTGCCCAAGCTGGTCTCGAACCCGCAGGCTTAGGCAATCCTCTTGCCTCTGCCTCCCAAAGTGCTAGGGTGACAGGTGTGAGCCACTGCACCTGGCCTGGCCATCTTTTAAGGCTCATGTTTAAGCTGTGAGTTTGCCCCTTTTTATGGTCCCATGCATATGGAATGGGTGTAGGTGAGGCAGCTGATCATGGTGCCAGATGACCAAATGCCAGGGACCCAGTACAGAAGCCATAAGCGTTAAATCGCTGATTTTTGTTATAAACACACACACACACACACACACACACACACACACACGGTCAGAAAGAAGGATCTACTGGATTTTTCCTCCGTTTTTTGTTTTGTTTTTGTTTTGTAGAGTCATAGTCTCACTACGTTGCCCAGGTTAGTCTCGAACTCCTGGGCTCAAACAGTCCTCCCACTTTAGCCTCCGAAAGTGCTGGGATTCCAGGTGTAAGCCACCACACCTGGCCTCTGTTTTGTTTTTTGACACATAGTCTCACTCTGTCACCCAGGTTGGAGTTCAGTGGCACGATTATGGCTCACCGCAGCCTCAACCTCCTGGGCTCAAGCAACCCTCCTGCCTCAGCCTCTCCAGTAGCTGGGACGACAGGCGTGTACCACAATGTCTGGCTGATTTTTAAAAATTTTCTGTACAGACAAGGTCTCACTTTGTTAACCAAGCTGGTCTCAAACACCTGGGCTCAGGCAATCCTCCCATCTCAGTCTCCCAAAGTGCTGGGATTACGGGCATGAGCCACTGTGCCCAGCTTGGATCTACTGTTTCATCTGTCTCTGTATTCCCAGGCCTAGCGCAGAGCTGGCAGGATGAAGGGGTGTTAACTGAAACTGAGGGGCTGATTTGATCAGACCTGGCTACCCTGCCTGCTTTCAGTCACTTGCTTTTTGGTTTGGGTTTTGTTTTTTTCCTTTTACCATGAGGCTGAAGGTCATGGTGGCTGAAGGCCGTGTTCCTAAATACTGACACTTAACCTTCATTGGCTACTGTAGAGATAACATGTATAAGTCACCATGGTCATGGTCTCTTCGGTTGTTGTCAGGAACCTGGACCGAATCCTGTCTAGCTAAAACCTGTTGAGACAACAGACCCTTCATCTGGGCTTGCCCAAGGGTCCGAAGGGTAGTCTTGAGGCATCAGAGGGCCAGAAATTCCACCCTCAGATCACCCTGATACTGCCATTTTCTGTAGCTGTGTCCTGTGAAATGCCATGAGCCCCAACTATGCGTGTGCAGAATACCCATTACTTCATTTTCCCCCGCTGCCAGTCACCTCTCCCCCATGCCGCAGACCACCCCACTGCCCTAGCCCACCCCACTGCCCTAGCCCATGCATAACCCTCAGTCTTATCTTTGGGAAGGTGGACTTGTGACTAAATCTTTTCTTTTTTGCAAAACTTGTGTCGTAGCAATTGATTTACTGTGCATGGGCAGAAACAGGCCTGGACCTATCCAGTGGCATAGCCTTGGGGGTGAGTCAGAGCAGCGATCCCCAACCTTTTTGGCATCGTGGAAGACATGAATGGGGTGAGGGGATGGTTTGGGGATGATTCAAGCGCATTGCATTTATTGGGCACTTTAGTTCTAGATTCCTTGCATATGCAGTTCACAATAGTTTCCGTGCTCCTATGAGAACCTAATGCCGCCACTAATCTGACAGCGGACAGAACTCAGGCGGTAACATGAGCGATGGGGAGTGGCTGTAAATGCAGATGAAGCGTCACTCGCTGGCCTGTCACTCACCTGCTGTGTAGCCTGATTCCTAACAGGCCACAGACCAGTACCAGTCTGTGACCCGGGGTTGGAGACCCCTGGGTTAGAGGGTCCACAGCCCTGAGTCAGCCACGGAGAGAGTGGTTTCCTCTCCAGTTCCCTTCCAGTCCTTTCGATTACATCACAAGGAAAGTCCCCTCTTGGTGCTGCTGTGTCCTGGGCACCGCTTCACTGTTATTCACCTTTCCCCAGGGCAGGCCTCTGCCTCAGAGACAGGCAGCCATTTTGAGCTACGTGTTTAAAATGTATACTTACTTTCTATTGCTGGCAGGAGCTTCTGGTTTTCCGTTGACAGCGGTGGTGTCAGTTTCTTTTTAGAATACACTCATTTAAACAACAAAGAAATAAACTAATAGAACAATATAAAACCATAATAGCAATAGGTGATACTCAGATATGACAAACATGGTGACAAATGACCAAAGTTTGGAAAACTCTGGGTCATGGGATCATAAATTTTTTTAGCTAGGAAATGCTCCCTACCACCTAGTTCTACAAACGAGAAAACTGAGAAAGGTAAAGGTGAAAGTGAGTGTTCCAGGTGAGTCAGCAGAGCAGTGGGCTGAGACCCCACAATCACCGGGTCTGAGAGCTGCCTGCTTTTTGTTGAAAGGCATGCTAAAGACAGGTGGGCTCTTAAGAGAGAACTTCCTGGCTGGGCACAGTGGTTCATGGCTGTAATCCCAGTACTTTGGAAGGCCAAGGCAAGAGGATCACTTGAACCCAGGTGTTCAAGACCAGCTTGGGTAACATAGAGAGATCTTACCTCTACAAAAAATAAAAAATTAGCCGGGCATGGTGTCATGCACCTGCAGTCCCAACTACTCAGGAGCCTGAGGCAGAAGAATCACCTGAGCCCAGGAGGTTGAGGCTGTGGTGAGCCATGATCCTGAGCAACAGAGTGAGATCCCCAACACACACACACACACACACACACACACACACACACACAAAAGGCCAGCAAGATCTGTGCTGGCCACTGTAGCCACATGTGGCAATTAAGCACTTGAAATGTAGCAAGCCCAGGTTAAAATATGCTGTGAGTATAAAATATATGCCAGATTTTGATGTATATTTTTAAGAAGGTAAAATATCTCATGAACAAATGTTTTACGTTGGTGACATGCTGAAATAATATTTTGGATCTACTGGATTAATGAAAATATATTATGAAACTCGATTTCACCTGTATCCTTTTACACTCTTAATGTGGCTGCTAGAAAATCGTAAGTTACATATGTGAGTCCCATTATATTTGTGCTGGGTGGGGCTGATCTGGGCCTCTTGCTACATTTTAAAAAATCTGAATGAAGCCACTACAAATGCCACTTTCCACCTGACAGGGATCATTCTTTTAAAGAATCCTTGCGGTTGATACTTTATAAACATACTACTTAGAAGTCATGTTGGGAAACTGCCTCTTGCATACTTACAACCAGCATCCCTGCAGAAACCTTCTCCTCACCATCAGATCTGAACAAAGAAGACTGGCAGAGGGGCCTGTTTCAAACTAAAAGCGCCTCCCATGCTTTCAAGTCAGCTAACAAAGGGCAAAAACACACCTGTCTCTTAGTGCCTCGTGTTTCAAGTCCAGAAGCAAAGGAATCGAGTCCTTGAATGCCTTCATTTTCACTTCCAAATGATAGGCCACCGACAAGCTGCGGACCTGCCGGGGGAGCTTTCTGAGAGCCTTGAGAAAACCGTCAATCCCTTCCTGGAGAAACTGCACGTTCAGGTTGATCCACAGGGTCTGAGACCATTCTTCTTTCGCATTCTGGAAACGTGCAAGAAATAGTTCCATCAACAAGACCCCTTTGGAAATGCGGCGGCCACTGATAGGGGGAGCAAATCCTTCACTCTCAGTCATGCTCAGTTCTATTAAAATATCATTACCCATCTGTCCACAACTACCTCAAATTCACAAACGAAGGGTTGGCTGCAAAGATCTAAAACAACAACAAAAGGATTCCAACTTTTTTAAGCCCTTGCAAAAACGATGCTGTGTCTAAGGGTGTATAGATCCAGAAACAAGTAGGAAGAGAAAGAGAGAAATATAAAGTAAATAACAGGCACTTCTTAAACCACAGAATTGCTTGGGTCTTAAGCACATACTTCATGGAGGTGCTGTCATAACTTGCTTCTCTCTCCTGAGAAAAGAAGTGAAGGTCACAAAATATTTACAGTTTGGATTGCGAATCCAGAAATCTATGAACCCTCAGACTGAGGTTGAGAAGTAAGAATCAAACATGATCCGACTGAATTATCATAAAGAGAAGACTTCCTGTGTTGTATTTTCCTGAGATTTAATGTAAAAATTACTGTCTTACGTAAAATTTAGTACTTTAAATAGTTTGCATTGGCAACTTATAACATCTATGTTTGATAAAATTGCTCAAATCATGAAACTTTTTGACAAGAAATCAAGTTAGTTGATGAAATGCATTTGTGGGATTTTTTTAAACGTAAGTTGCAAATGGCGTTATGATGTATATCTATGTTCCTTTTCTCTTCCTCTCTGTTTTTTCAAAATATATTATGAGTTCAATGTGTTTTTTAATTTGTTTGAGATAACGGCAATGATTCATTACCTCCTTTTTGTAAAAATACAATGAGAGACACATTAGAAGGCATCACAAAGAAACGCAGGTCCTTCCTGGAGTTTCCAACCTAAAGGCAAGACAGCCCATGGCCCACGATCGTGGCTTCTTTGGCCCTCCCCAGGGCTTCCCCTCTGTGCCATCTGCATTGAATGCATTCAGCAAAACCTCAGCCTGAGCTAACTCTACCCAACACCCAGCATGTCAGCGCCTACACCCGGGCAGCCAACCATGACGACGGCAACACCAGGTCTCTCCAGGAGACATTGCACCTGCAGCCTGACCGGACGTGTCTGAGACCTGGCCCGGTCTACATCCAGACACTTGATGCTGCCCATCGTCCCCTCACATTTCTCTGCCTCAATGGCTCCTCCACTCTTCTCGACCACCCTTTCACCCCTGCTCCATCACCCTCGACTGCCCGTCCCTCTGCTACTGACCTCTCTGCCTGTCATCATCCGCTGACGTCCCTGGGGAAACTGATCAGAACGGGGCTTCCAACGCCCCCCGGGAGACATGTCCCTACACATCGACTCTGCCTTCCCCGTGTGATGACAAATGAACCTGTCTGGCCCTTTTGAGGCCACCTCTGGACCTTGTCCCTTCCCACTTACTCAAGGACATCAGCCATGGCTCCAGCAACTCCCTCCCCACCCCACCCCCCACCAGCTCTTCCTCTTGCCCGGCTCATCCCCATCCATAAACAATCGATGTCCTCATTCCCCCATCTCAAAAAAGTCTTCCTTATTATAAAGTCTAATTCCATCCAGGTTGCTGCACAGTTCATGATTTTGTTCTTCTTTATGGCTGCGTAACATTCCATTGTGTATATGTACCACATTTTTTTTATCCAGCCCTCTTTTTTTTGTTGTTTGTTTGAGTTGGAGTCTCACTCTGTTGCCCAGACTGGAGTGCAGTGGCCACTCCTGGCCACCGCAGCCTCGACCTGCTGGGCTCCGGCGATTCTTCCGCCTCAGCCTTCCGAGTAGCCGGAATTACAGGCGCGCGCTACCACGCCCGGCTGATTTTTTGATTTATTGTAGAGATGAGGTCTCGCTGCCCAGGCGGGTCTCGAACCCGCGGGCTCCGGCAATCCACTCGCCTCGGCCTCCCAAGGCGCGGGATGACAGGGAGTTTGCATTTTCTAGAGCTTTACACGAATGGAATCATCCAGCAAGCACTCTTGTGTGTCTGGCTTCCTCCGCTCAGCTTGGCGATTTGCATGTCACCCTTGTTGCTGCCTGGCGTGTCCATGGTCCGGTCCCTTTCCTTGCTGGGTAAACTCCATGATGCGGATGAACCACGGTGTACTGCCTGTGGACGGGCATCTGGTTCGCTTCCGGCCTTGGGCTATGACCACTCCGTCCAAACTTCTTTTCAAGGACACCAGTGGCCTCTGTGACGTGCAATTTTGTAGTCAATCCTCGTCCTCTTCTCGCTTGCTCCACAGGAAGCACCTGGTGCCACTGACTAGTCCCCTCTCCTTGGCGTTTCCCACTGGGCATCAAGATGTCACACTCACTCGCGTGTCCTGCTGCCCCCTGGGCTGCTCTCCTCCTCTTAGCCAGGCTTTTCTTTGCACCGTCTTCTCATGGCATTTAGTGTCAAAGGGACCCAGGCTCCGCCCTGGTCCCTCTGCTCCACTCCCAGCCATCTGGTGCTTGAGAGTGACCCCTCAAAATGTGCCTCCACTCAGAACCTCAGAATGGAGCCTTACTTGGAAAAAGCGTCTTTGCCACTGTAATTAATTAAGAGGAAGTCATACTGAACTTGGGGGGGCCTTTAGTGACTGGTATCCTTTAAGAGAAAACACAGGCCAGGTGCAGTAGCTCACGCCTATAATCCCAGCACTTTGAGAGGCGGAGGCAAGAGGATTGCCTGAGCCTACGGGTTTGAGACCAGCCTGGGAAACTTGGCGAGACCTCATCTCTACCGTAAATCAAGAAAAATTAGCCGAGTGTGGTGGCAAATGCCTGTAGTTCCAGCTACTTGGAAGGCTGAGGCGGAAGGCCTGCCGGAGCCCAGCAGGTAGAGGCTGCGGTGGCTGGGAGCGGCCACTGCACTCCAGCCTGGCAACAGAGTGAAACTTCAAGAGAAAAAACAAAAACCACACAGAGCGATGCACACAGAGGGAAGATAGCCATGCATAGACAGAGGCAGAGATTAGAGGGATGCCGCCACAGCCGAGGACCACTGAGCACAGCCATCAACTACCGGCCGCTGGACGAGGAAGACACCTCCCCCAGCATCTTCAGTGGGAGCATGGCCTGCAGATGCCCTGATTCCAGCCTCTGGCCACCAGAACTGTGAGAGAACCTGTTTCTGCGGTTTAAGCCTCCCATCTGTATTTGGAGTAGCTTGCTACGGCAGCCCTAGGAAACTCTGCATCAGGTTAGGCCCCCCAGACTGGAGGCTTTCAGGCGCGCCTACACTTTGACAACTCCAGGTCACACCTCCACTCCAGACCTCCCCTCTGACCACGACACGTGTGTCCCAGTGAGTCGCCGACATCTCCATGAGAACATCCAACAGACACCACTTGTCCTGAGGTCCCGATTTTCACCCCCACACCTTCTCCTGGTTCTTCCCCTCAGAGGGACCCCACCCTTTCGGCAACTCAGGCCTCAAGTCTGGGCGTCCTCCTTCCTCTTCCTTGCTCCCACATCCAAACGTCCAGGAAGCCCTCCTGACTCTACCTCCCAACCAGGTCCAGAATCCACCCACGTCTCCCCATCTGCACTGCCACCAGCTCTCCCTGGGACTGCGTCCACAGTCTCCTGCCTGGCCTCCCTGCCTCCACCCAGGGTGTCCCTAGACTCTTCTTCACACATAGATTTGGGAAGTAATTGCTATTAAGAAATAAATTTCACCAGGCGCGGTGGCTCACACCTGTCATCCCAGCACTTTGGGAGGCGGAGATGAGAGGATTGCTTGAGCCCAGGGGTTCGAGACCAGCCTGGGCAACTTGGCAAGACCTCGTCTCCACCATAAATCAAAAAAAAATTAGCTGGGCGTGGTGGCACACACCTGTGGTTCCAGTTACTTGGAAGGCTGAGGCAGAAGGATCGCCTGAGCCCAACAGGTTGAGGTTGTGGTGGCCATGAGCGTGCCACTACACTCCAGCCTGGGCAACCGAGTGAGACTCCGACTCAAAAAAAAGAAAAGAAAAGAGAAATTTCAAGGAGGGTGGAAGTCACTCTAGATGATGACATTTTCCTTAATAGCTGCATTCTAGCCAATAGCTGGGGACCAAACTGTGTCTCAATATTAAATTATGTTTTTAAAAAACCCACTTGTTTTGATACGCATGGCTGTTCTCAGTTCACATGATTCCTTTCCTTTTTAAAATTGGAGTTTTTTGTGGGGGGAGGGTTGTACTTTATAAATTGTTTTCAGGCTGGGTGGGTGCAGTGACTCACGCCTGTAATCCCAGCAGTTTGGGAGGCTGAGGCAGGAGGATGGCTTGAGCTCGAGTGTTCAAGACCAGCCTAGGCAATGTAGTGAGACCTTGTCTCTACAAAAAATTAGCCGGGTGTGGTGGAGCACGCCTGTAGTCCCAGCTACTCAGGAGGCTGAGGTGGGAAGATTGCCTGGGCCCAGGAGGTTGAGACTGAGGTGCACTGTGATCCTGCCACTGCACTCCAGCCTGGGTAATGGTGAGACTCTGATTTTTTTTTTTTTATTGTTTTCATAGTGCATGCATCTAGTCAGTCACCAAGTCTTACCATTTTCAACTCTAACAAGCCTTCAGAATCTCCTCACCTCCCACTTCCCTCTATAATTGTCTTAAAATGCAGCTGTCATCCCTTCTGCCAGCCCTGGGGCAGTGACCTCCTCAATGGCCACCTGCCTGCAATCTCCTTGAGATCTCCAGAGTCCCTTCTGACCCAACCCCTCACGATCCCCAGCCTCGTTTGCTGCCGTTGGCACCCTCTTTCTGGCCAGGAAAGGTTATGGGTCATGGCACTTTTTTATATCTCCTGCCTTTGCTCCTGCCCAGCCTCCTGTCCTGTACCAGGCAAAAACCTGCTTCTGATTCAAAGCTTTGCTCAAATGACACCTCTCTCTCTCTCTCTCTCTCTCTCTTTTTTTAAGATGGTGGTCTTGTTCTGTTGCCCAGGCTAGAGTGAAATGATGTGATCATAGCTCACTATAACTTCGAACTCCTTGACTCAAGGATTCTTCCACCTCAGCCTGCCAAGTAGCTGGGACTACAGGTGCATGCTACTATCTGTATTAGCCTGGCTAAGTTTTACTTTTTAAAATTTTTTAAATTTTTTTCTTTTTTTAGAGATGGGGTCTTGCTATGTTGCCCAGGCTGGTCTCAAACTCTTGGCCTCAAATTATGCTCCTGCCTCAGCCACCCAAAGTGCTGAGATTACAGGTGTGAGCCACTGAGTCTGGCAAAATGCCACCTCTTTAGCAGAGCTCCATAGGCTAGCCTCCTTCCTCTGCTGGACTCCATAGCGCCCTGTCCACCTCATTTCTATCACTTATAATGGAATGGTGGTTGCTTGTCCATGTATCAGTGTGAAAATTAATCTTTTTTTTTTTTTTTTTTGAGTTGGAGTCTCACTCTGTCGCCCAGGCTGGAGTGCAGTGGCCACTCCCAGCCACCGCAGCCTCGACCTACTGGACTCCGGCGATCCTTCCACCTCAGCCTTCCAAGTAGCCGGAACTACAGGCACACACTACCACGCCCCGCTAAGTTTTGATTTATTGTAGAGATGAAGTCTCACCAAGTTGCCCGGGCGGGTCTCGAACCCTCAGGCTCAGGCAATCCACTCACCTCGGCCTCCCAAAGTGCTGGGATGACAGGTTGAGCCACCGAGCCCGGCTGACAGTTAATCATATGTGTCAACTTGCCTGGGCCATGGAGTGCCCAGATGTTCAGTCAGACATATATTCTGGATGTATCTGGGATGGTTTCTGGATGCAATAAACATTTAAATCAGTAGACTGAGTCAGGCAGACGGCCCTCTCCCATGGGGGCGGGTCTCATCCAATCTGTTGAAGGTCTGCATGGAGCAGAAAGACTGACTGAAAGAGAGCTGGCTCCCCCTGCCTTCAAGCTGGGACATTGACCTTCTGCATTCAGACTTGGATTTGGACTGGAGCCTACACCATCCGCTCTCTTCAGCCACCAGCTTACCAATTGCAGGTCTTGGGGCTTCCCAGCCTCCACAATCACAAAAATCAATCCCTTATGGTCAGTCTTTTTATAGGTATAGATACACACCCATATGCTGGGCGTGGTGGCTCATGCCTGTCATCCCAGCACTTTGGGAGGCTAAGGCAAGAGGATTGCCTGAGCTTGTTACGGGAAAACAGAGAGACCGTGACACCAAGGCTGTTTCAGGAAGCAGCATTTATCGGTGCCAACATCATTCAGTGGGCTAATGCTCCAAGGCAGAGCAACCCGGAGAAAGAAGGGAAGGGTTTTATATGTTAGTTTAGGTAAGGGAGGGGGTTGAGTTTTATGGTTATACATATTTTTGGAATTTGCAATGTTGTAATCAGTAGAAACAGATCTTCAAAGAATAAGTTGTTTATAAGATATACATAACAAGCAGGAGTCGTGAACAGATAACCTTCAAAGAAAGGATGGGGGGTGGGGTAAGGTTGTAAATCGATTACTATCTTGCACTTACAGGAAAGTGGCTTGTGGCTGTCTGGTTTTTCTCATGTCCCATGTCTAGCAGGTTTATAGCTAGGTTGATTTTGTACAAGAATAATTTTAACTGTTTTCAGCCCCTTTCCACAAGCTCAGGGGTTCAAGACCAGCCTGGGCAACCTGGCAAGATCTCGTCTCTACAATAAATCAAAAAAATTAGCCGGGTGTGGTGGCGTGCACCTGTGGTTCCAGTACGTGGAAGGCTGAGACAGAAGGATCACCTGAGCCCAGCAGGTCGAGGCTGCAGTGGCCGTGAGCATGCCA